ACCAGAGTAGAAACAAATGGTGGCTGGTAGTGTTCCATTTTGAAATCTTCATTTGATTAACATAATTTAGTTGACACACTCAACAATCATTTTTTGGCTAACTCTTATTCTGTTTCTTTTTTGCTTGTTTAACTTGAGTAATGTTATTCTATCAATGTGGACGAAGAGATAAATAGCTTTTTTTTTTCTTTTTTCTTTTGCTGGTGATTATTTGATTGTTTTCAATAAATTTTGTGATTAATTTTTTTTAAAGTTTTACTTTGATTATTACTAAATTTAATCATGATTTAGCCACACAATATTTAAGAATTAATCATTTTTTAATGTTTACTTTAAAATAAACAAATTTAATGTTTAATTAGTGAAAAAAATATGGGTTTAACATTTATTATATTCTAATTAGTTCAAGGGTCTGAACTTGAATAAAACACAACTGGATGATTCAAATCAGATATTGATTCATCCTGTTCAGCCTTGTCAATGGGTATATACATATATTTATATGTATACACACACATCTTGTTTGTGTTTTGGGAGGTTGTATAAATTTATAACTAACGAGGAGGGATTTAACAAGCCGCTCCCAATCAGTGAAGTAGACTGAGGGAAGTGTCCAAGCTGTAGTCTTATAAAATCTTACCAGGGAGATAGATTCTATGGGACTTGTTGAGAAACAGCTAGAGGAAGAAGATGACCACGACCATGAAGATAAAGGAAACATCATGAAGATTCTAAGATGCAATGCCTCATTCAATTCATTAATTTACCAAAATAATATTGGTTGCTTAACATGTCTTTTGGGTGAGTCTCCTTTTCATTTTTATCACTGTGCTTTTACATTAGATCTAGATGGTTGAAACGAAAATTGAGAAAAATATAGGGAGAAGTTTTGATTTTTCACGTCAATCTTTGGTTGTATAGGTCAAGGCATAAACTTGACTCAAAAAACCATCTGGGTGACATAATTTATATTCACGTTGGAGAAGTGTACAAAAATCAAATGTATAAATGTTCTTAGTAGTACTGTGTTTAAGTTCCTGACTGAATTCTATAATGTTACTATAGTAACTATGGATAACTTTTTTTGAGAGATATGTTTGCTCATTTCTTATACTTCTTGATTTCTCTTTTTAATAAAAGAAGGAAGCTTTTGACAAGGGCCATACTGCTCTCATAGAGCTCCTACACCACATTTTGTATATTATCTGTAATGTTATCTACCAGCATCCTCGTCATAAATGGAAGAACTTACAGTTCTTGTCTTTAGAGGCTGTGAGTTTGTAGAGAATATTGATCACAGTAGAGAACTCAAGTCATTAGTTGTTCTTGAGATATTTGGTGACTAGATCATTGATCACATCAGGAACTCAAACACCAGTATCCAGTCCTTACCATCTGTATTTAACCTTGTTAACCTTCACCATCTATTGTTAAGAGATTGCAATTCACTTGAAACTCTTCCAGCCATGGGAGGGCTTAAAAATCTTGAGGTACTTGATCTCTCAAATGCAATTTCTTTGAGGGGCTTCGGTGAAGAGAATTTTTCAAACCTCCGCCAACTTTTCCTACCTGATTGTTCCTCCCTTCAAATTTTACAAATTCTTGATCATCTTGAAATGCTAGAGGTGTTTGATCTCTCTGATTGTACAGCTTTGTCAATAGATTATAATCTTAAGAATTTGTTTAGACTTTGGAAACTCA